ACAGATAAGAGGCACCCAGAGGTATCAGAACATGAACCTCTTTCCCCTGCTTCCCCAGCTGCTTTCGGTCCTGTGGGGTGGAACTCTGCCTGAGCCCTTCCAGGCTCCCCCTCACCTCTTCTCCTAGGTAAGGACATCCCTGTTACACCTTGCTCAACTCTGCCTTCCTCAGCCTGTTTTTCCCAAACCCTTCTCACTTTCCAAACTCCCATCATCACAGCCATTACTAACATTCTATTGCAGTTTCACCCCCTCCTCTCCCCAGGCTTCCCGTGCTCACTCTGGATGTCGGGTTTCCCCAGCTCTGCAGATGCCGGCTGTTCTCACTCCCTGTCCCGTCCCATCCCCGTTCACAACTCCTGCACCCTTCACATCACCGCGGAGGCTCCGGCCCCCACTTCTTTCTCCCACTCCGAGTTGTTCTGACAAGCCGCAGTGGGGGGGGGGGGCGGGGGATGTGTTCTCGTGCCGGCCCAACTCCAATATCCCAAACTCACTGCTTTCCTTCACCTTTTTGCCTTTTTTGTTTGTTTGTTTGTTTCTCCACAATTCCACTATTCGTACCCTCAACTGCATCTCCACCTCCCATCAACAGCTGCATCTCCACCTCCATTAAGACAGTTTCTCCCAGTGCCTTCACAATCCACAAATCAAACAACACAGTTCCTCAGCTTCCACACACACCCAGCACTTGCTCTCATGATTCGGGCACTCAATTATACAACTGCTCCCATTACTCCATTTACGTTCCTGGTTTCTTATTCAATATTCCCCTGGCTCACCAGCACTGTTTCTCCAGTGAGCCAAAATACAACCCAGGCTCTTCTCGTATCCCTTCAGACACCCCTCGTTCCATGACAGCCTCGTACACGACATCACAGAGCACTGTCACCACACAAACATTTCACAGGCACAAAGGCAGTGACAGCAACCAGCAGGAAAGAGTTCAATGCCCTTACCTTGGTCCGTGCACCAAGTTACCGGGTCGCCAGGGCCAACACCCGTGCCTGCCTGCCCCTTGGCTTTCACAGAGCCCGTCCTTATGGCATAAGAACAGTCTCGGCTTTTTATCGGCCGTCCCAAGGAGTCACCTCAGCACCCAGACAGGACCGCTGCCATCAGCGGGGTGCCCCTATCCTGTGCAGGGCGGTAGGGAAACTCCCACAGAGGCGATAATAATTCCGCACGAGCCCCAAATTGCTGGGAATATCCAAGTCATGTTTCTCAGGACGGTATCTCTCATAACAGCACGTTTTACTCGCGGTTGCAACGGCGGCGTCCCGCAAGCAGGAGTGCACCTATGGACACAACATGGCAGCCTTTAGACCCGGTTTGCTCCCCCTTGCCTCCCCCCTCCCCTGTTTCCCCACTGGCTGCGTACTCCAGGTTCGCAGTCTTATCAGAAGGTTGACATTTGCTATTTACTTGTTCATTTATTTGTTACCTGCTGTCAGTCAGCAGCCATCCTGTTGTTTCCAAGCTGTCTCGGTGCTCTCCTTGCCGTATTGATGTGGTGATTTTCTTTAAAGTCTTCGTTAAACAAAGAGCACCGGAGATGATGCCAGGCCTTCCCATGTCTCTTCAGGCGCTTCCTCAGGCAGGCCATGGCTGTTCTCCGGTTTGCTCTCGTGCAGGATATTCTTGCAGTGTGCGTGACAAAATATTCACCTATACACCTACGTACAGAGTGTGCGTGCGTGCCTGGGAAGGTTCGTCTAGAGGATCAGTGATGTAAACTATCAGAGATCTTCCCCAAGTGAAGTAGAAGGACTCCCAAAAAGAACTGTGATACGGGGATCACGAAATAAAAATAATATTATCCAATTCCAGTGCAGAACGTTCTCCAGCGCCAGCGCCGGGCCGCGCCGCCCGCTCGGACGCCCCGCTCCCCAACCTGCCGGCGGCCGCCAGCCCGTGCTCGCCGCTCTCCAGGAAGGCCCGCACGGAGCGGGGCGGCGCGGCGCGGACTCGGCCTCGCTGAGCTCCCCCACGTCCCCGCCCTCCTCCTCCCGCAGCCGCAGCCGCAGCCGGGGCCGCGGAAGCGGAGCGGGCGCACGACGACAGGCATCGCCGCGGGCAGCCGGGCCGGGGCCATGCGGACGCGCGCGATGATGACGCAATGACCGCGCGCCCGCGGACCCAAAGCACCCCGCCCGCAGTGCCCGCCCCGTTCGGCGGACTGACCAATGGCAGAGCCGAGGGGGCGGCTGCGGACGCGGGGCCGCCGCGATGGCGATGGCGCCGGCGGGATGGCGGAGCCGCGCGGTTCCGCGCGGGGAAAGCGGCGTTTCGCCGCCCCCCGCCCCGTGCTTCGGGGACGCCGGGCGGTCAGGGGAAGGCGGCGCGGGCGCACCGCCGCCGGCCCCGTCCGTCCCCCGTCCGAATCCAGCTGTCCTCGGAGGCGGAACCGAGCCGTCCTCCGTCGTTGCGGCGAGGCGCCGCCGGGCTGCGAGAAGCGGCGGCTGACCGCGAGCGGCGGGACCCGCCCGGTGTCCGGGAGCGGCTCCTGGCTGAGCCGGGCAGCCCCGAGAGGGAGCGATCCCACGGATCGACTCGCGTTCGAGCCCGGCACGGAGTCCGGCCAGGGCCTTCGCTTCTCGCTCGGCCGTTCTCCATCTGGCTTCAGGCCGTGCAGTCGTCCCCGCGGCGACAGCGCATGCGTGCGGCCTCGCCAGAGCGTCAGCGCCTGCGCCGGTCGGTCGTCGTGGCGCAGCGCCGTCCGCGCTGAGTGACGCCATCAGCCCCGCCACCCGAGCAGGAGGCGGCCGTGCGGAAGCCGTGCGGAAGCGGTGCGGGGCAGCCCGGGGCAGCGAGCGCCGCTTGGACTTGTACAGGTGGCTGTTCGGGGGAGCACCGGGGTTAAGGTGCTGGGGGGCCGCGTGCCCTGGGTCTCCCCGCCTCCCCCACCCTGTGTGTTTCCCTGCCCTCCTCCCCTCCCCCCGTCACTGATCGTCCACAACCCCCCCGTCCCTCTGTGTGACCCCCGGGGTTGCGCCTCCCTCCCCCTGTTTCCCTCTTCCGTTTCCCCCATTCTGATCCCTGTAGTCTTTTTCCACCCCTCCCCTCTCTGCCTCCCCCATTCTGACCCCCAGGCTCCACCTGTCTGCTCCCCGCCCCCCCGATCCCTCCCCAGTCCCCCGTTCTGATCTCTAATGTCCCCCCGCCCCCTCACGAGTCTCCCCATTCTGTCCCCTAGAGTCCCCCCACTTTCCCAGTCCCCTCTATCTGACCCCCAGAATCCCCTCTCCTCCTTGCAGGTACTCCTGCTCCAATTCCCCCATTCTGATTCATAGAGTCTCCTACCACCCCCCGTTCCCCTCTCTTTGACCCCCAGGGTCCCGTGTCCTCCTTTCCTCCCCCACCTCCTCACCCCTTTTTCTGACCGCTAGAGTCCCCTGTACCCCCCCGTGTGCTCCTCCCTGACCCCTGGGGTCTGTTCCCCCATTTTGACCTGCAGCCCCACCCAGCCATACTCCTTTGCTGCCCAATAGAAGCCCCCCACGACCCCTGGCCATCTCCTCCCACCCCTCCCTCCAGCCCCAGATGGACTTTCTGCCTTGTAGAGGCTCTGTTCACCCCTTTCCCTTGCACAACCCACTGAGTCCCCCTCCAACTCTTTATCAACCCCATAAGCACCCCACTCCCCTCTTCTCCTCCCAAATATTAAGCTCTACCCCTGGCTCCTCTTCCACCCCATAGAAGCCCCGCACAACCCCCTGATTTCCCCTGCCACCCCCTCTCCATTCCTAGACCTCCTTTCCTCCCAGTTGAAACCCTACTCCCCTTTTTTTTTCCCCTCACAATCCTCTGTCCACTCCTAGAACAGCCCCTTCTGCACAAAAGCCCCCTTCCAACCCCTGATGTTGCCCTCCACAACATTGCCCTCCACAATGTACCCCTGCACCCCCAGGCCCCCTTCGCACTCACAGAAGCCTCTTTCTCCTGTTTTCCCCCTCCAAACCCCTCTCTCCCCCCCCAGGCCCTCTTTCCACATCACAGGGCTTCTAGCCCACCACAATCCCCCGCTTTCCCTCTTCCACCCTTTCTCCACCTCCAGACCCTCTTTCCGCCTCACAGAAGCTCCACTCACACCTTTCCCCCCGTAGATTCCCCACAACCCCCCTGTCCAGCCCTGCAGTCATGCAGAAGAATCTGGAGATGCCCTCGAGGGGTTTGGGGCGTGCGGGGGGGTTCCCAAGTGGGTCCAGGGGGTTCTTGGATTCATCCAGAAGGGTCTGGAGATGTCCAAGTGGGGTCTTGAGGGTGTGCAGGGGGTCTCCAGGATGCTCCCGGGGATCCCTTGAAGGATCCGGAAGCTCCGAGGATGGGCCCAGGAGCTCCGAGGAGCCTCTGGGATGACCTGGAGATGTCCCACCAGTAGAGTCTGGTAGGGTCCAGAGAGTCCTCATGTGGGGCTGAGTAGTACTGGAGTCATGCAGAAGGGCCTGGGGATGTCCGTGAGGGGTGTCGGGGTGACCAGAGGGTCCCTAGTGGTTCCTGGTGTGCTCCAGAGCTCTCAAATGGGGATTTTGAGGACAGCCTCACGTAGTGACCCGCTCTCGGGCTGCTTTGTCCCTGTGAGATCGCCCCCAAAATGTCTGTTTCCATTCAACTCAATCCTATGTCAGTTCTGTTGTGTGTTTTCCCCACTTCCTTGCAGAAATGGATGGTTTTCGCCAAACCACCGTGCAAGGCCCCACGGAAACAACTCCCCCCAGGGCCACCGGGTGACAGCGGCCCAACCGCTGGCGGTGCCAGCACCGGGACAAGCGCCTGTCCCCGAAGTTCTCACTGTCAGTGTCACCGTGGAACCTGGGGCCGGAGCAACGAACCTCGAGAGCCCCGTCAGCATCCTGCAGCTGCTGGAGCCGGGTGCCGCTGTGGCCCTGGCTGCCCATGACTGTCCCACGCTGTGCCCCCTGCCATGGTGGGGGGGGAGCCCTCTGGTGCCCATCGTCGTCTGTCACGAGGACGGGACACGCACGGTGCTGAACTCTGTGCCGCCACCAGAGGAGACCGCGTGTGACATCGGCGTGGCACAGCCGTGCCGCGCTGCCATCATCTTCGTGTGTGGCTTTGGGCAGCCGGCGTCGGGTGTCACCGCCATGAGGGGGGGGCAGAAGGACCCCCTGGGGACATTGCGCTGGAACTGTGGGCACCGTGACCAGCTGGAGGACGTGCTGGGCAAGTGGGGACACCGCATCACAGTGTCACAGCCCCAGAGTTGGGGACATCCCGTGTCACGTCTCAGGGCTGTGGTCTCGCCCACAGCGTCACACCATGAAGTTGGGATGCCTGTGTCCCCCGTGTGGTGTCACACTCCGAAGTTGGGGACACCTTCGCGTCTCCCTGGTAGCGTTGCATCCCAGAGTTGTGGACCCCCGCCATTCTCACACCATGAAGTTTGGGACACCCGTCTGGGACCCCATCTGTGTCCACCTCCACAGACCACACTGTTCTCATGGGGCGGGGGTGACACCCCTTACTTTGGAAATGCAGGTTTATTTTTTGCTAACAGAGGATTGGGGAACACCGCCCCACACCCCATGTCAGTAATGAAGGGCAGAGTAGCAGCTGTGGGGCTCCACGCATCTCATCGGGGTTAAACTTTGGGGACAGAGGTCACTGCAGCATCGTGGCTCCATAGCCCCTCTGGCCCCATAACCACTGCAGCCCCATCTCGTAGCCATCCCATATCCTTATCCCGCACCTTTATCCCATCCCATATCCATCCCATCCCACCCATAGCCCTCTCAAACCCATCTCATATCCCTGCC